ATTCGGAAACTAGAATAATTTTTTACAAAATGTAAATTTTCGTTTTTCCATTAATTATGCAAAAGTATTAATAAAATGCACGCAAACATTGCGCATTTCAGCAAAAATTCGCATCGTCTCGCTGCCGGGAGTGGTGGTGGGGAGTCGAGGAGAGTTAGCGCGAGCGAGAAGGCGCCATAGCAGCCGGCAACACACCCGTCGCGCGGCACTTCTCCTCCGCTGCCTCGACTCCCCACCACCGCTCCCGGCAGCGCGACGACGCGAATTTTTGCCGAAACGCGCAATGTTTGCGTGCATTTTTTTAATACTTTTACATAACTAATGGGAGAACTGAGATATACATTTTGTCGGAAATTTATTCTAGTTTCCAAATCCGTAATAAAAAGTTCCAAAAGTTAATTTTTTATACCTCAAATCGGCCTATCAACAAAAAACCAAAATCGCCGCTTTCCATCTTGTAAAATTAATATCTCCAAAACTTTTTGTCCGATCTGGTTGAAATTTTGCACAGTTATTCTACATAATAAGAGCTACTTTTGTGCAAAATTTCGTCCCTTAATTCCAAAAACTAACGGAGATATGAATTTTTGAAGATTTTGCAAAAAACCACGTTTTTCCACACATTTCCTCAATTTTCTCGGAAACTATTTATCCGATCGGGTCGTAACAAAATGGGTTTTAAAGGGGATTAAATTCTCTAAATTTCATCTCATGGGGCCAATAGCGTAGCTTTTTTCGTTTTCGAGTTATTTTCAAAAAACCAAAAACAGGGCAAATTTTTCTCGGTTTTTTGTTAATAACTAAAAAAGTTCACCTCCATATGGAGACAGATTTTGTCTACATACTCCCTGAGACTCCCCCTACAACATGGTATAGGTCGTTTGCTACTATTATTTTTTGTCCAAATCGGCCTTTTTTCAGCTAAGTGCACTGGACTATTAGATTAAGTCGTTGTTTTCGATTAAGTTATTAGTATTAAGATCAAACATTCTGTATAATTTTTAATTTGTAAATTTTTTCATTCGATTTATATTATTATTAGTTATTAGCTTTAATAGCCGCTACATGGCTAAACCAATTAGTTATTATATAAGGCTAGTGATAATATGGGCGCCTGAACTACTTCAAAAACATGTGCAAATTTAAAAGTCGTGATGCGCACGCATTTGCATCTGCTTACACAATAAAGACATATTATAAAACGTAAAAGAAGAAATTAGCACCAAATCTATGCATAATTAACGCCAAACTCCACCACTAGATGGCGAGTACCCTTGATTTGCAAATCCGCAAGTGGCAAGGTCCAAAGAATTGATTAACTCAAAGCACTGCTCTGGTGTTCAAGATAATAGCCCATTTTTATAAGCAAATTGTAAAACTAAAAAACTAAAACTAATGTAGAAGAAATATTAGACTTAGTAATCAAGCTTCGAGCATCTTCTACGGGGTCGATTTATTACAGATTTAACGAGGATCGAACGCTCGAGTCCCCTCCGGACTTCTCCGATCAAGTATCGTACAGTCTCGACGAAAAAAAAGAAAAAAGCTCGCCCCGCCGAGGGTCTAATCATAAACCTATTGCCGCGTATATATGAAAAATCCATCGGTCGGAATTACGGTAGCCGCTGACGCGATGCGCAGCTCATAACATGCTAAGCGTGATGCAGTGCACGTACCATATATACGCACACATATATAATGTATCTAAGGAGAGCCAAGAGAGCTGCTGCGTAAGCGCAGGAGGCCGTCTCGTCTCTCGTAACTTACGGCGCCATTAGGCTCCCGCGGGGTCTCTCTCTCTCTCTTAGTAGCAACAGCAGTAATACAGCAGCATAGCTTCATCTGCATCTCTTACTTATTTTTTTTCTTCCCTCCTCTTCTGCAGCCTCTTCTTCTTATTTTCATTCAAAAGACGGTGCATTCCTCTCTTTCTCGCTCTCTCTACCTCGATCCGCATTATATAGCCTCTCTCTCTCTCGCGCGCAGGGACTTAATAATACAGAGATCCCAAAGCTCTTACTGCAAGCCAAAGGGATATAATACAGTCTCTTTCTCGACTCATGGCTCTTTCTCTGCAGTAGTTGTGCCAGGCTCAAGGTCAAGGTTATAAAACGAAGGAACCATCCACGAGTCTATATATAGCCTCGGCAGCAGCGGTGCACGTGCTCAGTCAGGCGACGACGACAAAAAAAGCTTATATAAGCGTGGGTGTGAAGTGCAGCGCGCGAGCGCGACCCCGTGAAGGCGAGGTGCGCACTGCGATCACTTTGCAAAGAGAAAGAATCTCGAGCTCTCTCTCTCTCTCGAAAAGGGGGACAAATTTAAAACTGGTGTATTATAAATGTGTGTCTGTATAATAATAATTGCTCGTACAGGTCAACTCGCTCGAGGTTTTATCTGTATAATAACGATGCAAATGTGGCAAAACTGTTTCTCGGTATATATATATTCGCCTACTTTGCATGCGAGAGCCGAGCTGAACTGGACGATGCGTGCGTGCCCGATGAATTTGACCGAGATCACATCGCGACGAGCAACAGGTCGACCTAAAAATGTCAGTGGACGAGTATAAAAAGGAAACAGAAAGAAAAAAAATAATAATGAAGCTCGCTCACGTGCGTATTAAGAGAGAGAAAGAGAGAGACGCACACAGCGCACGCATTAAAATCCTACCCATCGACTGTGTATATCTGTGTACATTAAACACATCTCTCGAAGGTATATAATTTTCGAGCTGTGCTCGCTCGCGAGAGAGCTCGGAGGCCGATGGTACACATACATACATGTGTGTGTGTAATAAAAGGGTCGACGAACCTCCACCCAGAGAGTTGTACAATCGCGACTGTGGAGCGGCGCGTGGGCAGTACGGAATGAGCGAGAGAGAGAGAGAGAGAGACACGATTCGCATATGTGCCTGCGTGTGCGCGAATCAAGCCGGAAACGTATGAAAATCGTCATATTCAAGCTCGGTTAGGGTAATGTGATACGTACTTTGTCGTATATGCGAGCTTTTTTTCGTAAAAAAGCTGTCGTTCGATTTGTGGGTCTGATTTTTTTTTTGGTTCGCAGTGGCTTGATATTTCTTAAGATCGCCGAGGTGTTGACACGTGCCAACGTTATATTAATGTGTGGTACTCTTGACTTTCTGGGTTTTTAACATACCTATATGGAGGAAAATCTGTCGATTTTTATTTTACATTTTTGCAAATCTTTACGTAATTGAACTATGTACGTTGTTTAAATAACCGATCGGTTTATAATAATGAAAAGGTCATTGTTACTCGCGAACGAGAGTAAAAATGAGAAAAAAATGTAGAATTACTTAAATGGATTTTCGATACGGAACTTCATTTCACTAGCTCTATAATAGGACATTTCGAGAGCCGTAGAATTATTATTTAATATTTTCAATTTCATTGTTTAAAATATCATTAGTAGAAATTACATTATTATTCTGACTTGATGTCGCTTGGTTTACATGGGTTAACATTTCCATATCATGATGAGTAAATATTATGAAATTTTGTGTTCGTTGGTTTGATGTGTGATATTATGAAAGTACGATTAGTCACGAACGAAATTCTGAGTGAGCGACATGGAATCGAGTGATACATTCAACTGTACCATCAGGTAAATTTTGATTTAATAAAATAAAAGCATGACAATACTATATCTCATGATACTAAATTTCATTGGATTATTTCAGAATCAAAGAAGAACCTTGTGATGAGTCCTCTCATGAAAACGATCATCAAGTAATCGACCAGACATCGTCAGTTGTAAAGATTCAAAACTTCAAGTTTCTACGAGAACATCATGGACATGAACTCGACGACGTTCGAATCGAGTTCGAATGTAAAGACGAGAAGCTCAAGGTGGATTTACTAGCAGTTACAAAAGTCGAGGATTACTCTCAAAATTACTGGCAAGATATGAACTATATCAATGATCGTGAAACTTTAAACAAAATTAAAGTAGAAACTGTAGAGGTAGTAAAGAAAGAAATTTTGGAGGACGAAGCAATAAATTTTGACTGCGAACTCAGCGAACGAAATCCAAAAAGAAATGCTGTAAAACAATCTCTGTTTACTGGTAACTCCCACAAGTGTGACACGTGTAGAAAATCATTTGTAAATGAGAAAAGTCTCAAACGCCACATTGTCTCGGTGCATCACAAAATTACTTATGCATGTGAATTATGTGAAAAGACATACACACGAAAGGATAATCTCAAAACCCACATCGAGGCGGTGCACAAGCGTGTCACCCATGCATGTAATTTATGTGACAAGATATTTTCACAACATGGTAATCTCAAACGCCACATTGATTCGGTACATAATAAAATGACTCATACATGTCACACGTGTGAAAAGTCATTCACACAAAAATATTATCTTCAAGTGCACATTAACGCAGTGCATAATGGTATCAAACCCACATGTGATATATGCGAAAAAAAATTTATATTCAAGTCTGATCTCAGAGTCCATATCGAGTCGATTCATGGAGGCATCACTTTCGCTTGCACCATGTGCGAGAAAAAATTCACACACAAGAATTATCTCCAAATCCATGTCGACTCGGTGCACCGTGGCATTACCCATCAATGCAATGAATGTGAAAAGAAATTCCGCAGAAAAGATGATTTCAAAAATCACATCAATGCAGTACATAATGGTGTCACTCGTAAATGTGATTTTTGTGAAAAAATATATCGGCATCAATCTGCTCTCCGGAGACATGTGAAAGCGTCGCATAATGGTATCACACATAAATGCGAGACGTGCGAAAAGACTTTCGGACAAAAAAAGAGCCTCAGAGCTCACATCGACATGGGGCATCGCTCGCGCATTACGTCCGAATAAATGTATAAAATTCTAGGATCAATTTTATTAAAAATCTTTATTTGTCATTCGATTTATTTGTAAACAATGTAGTTTAAATATTTTCATTCATTATGTCATGATTGACTTATACTATGTCACGTTATCTCGCTGTATTATACAAAAAAATGAAACTAGCATCCAAGCTAAAAATAAATAATGTATTGAAAAATAACCGTACCGTGTATATCAAATAATAGCATCGATGGCGAGTTCAATAACGTTTCTCCGAAAGTGTCGAATCAAAGGCAATTATACCGATCGGCAATCATTGTCACAGATAAAAGCGACGATGCGCGGCCTATATCTGTCGAGGCGATCGATCGATCAATTAGGTATTATCGAGATATCGTTATATACTCGATTATCGTACATCCACGAAAAGCGTTCCTTAATATAATTGAAAATCACGTTTAATTTACAGCTAATCGTTATCGTTAATAATATTTACGATATATTTTGTTCTGGGTCCGATGTCGCACGCAGCTGCAGTCGCTCGTTCGAATCGACTTTTAACACCTACGCCTCAGCACCTTATTAACGCCAACGCATCGTCACGAGCTTTAATGTAGGGACGTCGTTGCAAATTGCGTTACGCTCCCATAAGCAGTGATATAACACACGCATGGCACCCATGCAGTATCTCGTGTAGCGTAGGTACATTGCGTCTCGGTATAAACATACGAGAGCTGTTTCGACTTCAGGCACGAGTTTGTGGCTACTGTTCAAACTTTACCAATTTTTCACCGGCTACGTACTGCACACACTCGCCAATGTAATTCCGCTTTGCAGTAGAGATGAAAGTGTAGCTTGTACACGATGACATTCATACGAGCTCGAGGCGGTGCGGTGCAGGCTTTTTCTTTATACTTGTATGGAGTTCCGGCGTGCCTATCGCTGATTTAAGAAAAAGATTTTGTGCTCTTATAAGTTGCACGCGCGAGCACGGGAATAATTTTTCCTACAGCGACTGGTTTGACTTGTACACTTTGTATGTGTGTGCACGCCGAGCCGAGAAAATAAACAGAGCATCATAATCAAAACACAAGTATTATCATTTACCCATGTCACCTCCTATCTCCTCGCCCCCTGCCTCACCGGAGATTCCGCTTGCGGACAGCTTGAAGAGGATTGAAAAGTACCTGGGTACGTGGCTCCGACCGCTGCATACATTTGGCAGCTCACTTCGATAATGCCAACGTTATAATAATGTGTGCGGTACATTCCTGAAGTTATACAATACGCATCGGAGCACATTTGAAATATGGTATTGTAGATATAATGAATTTACCGTATCCATTATATACTAATCGGAGATACGTTTTATCACTTGCGAGTTTGCAATGTTCCATCTGTCGACGGAATCAAGAAGCTCGTGAAGCTCAATGTGCGTTCGTGCAAGAACAGCTGTTAGACGTGAAACTTTAAGAAAACGACACCGAAGATAAAAGTCCAATTGAACTGCAATAAACTCAATTGAAAAATATATATCTAAAGTTTCAATTTTCTTGTACCTTGTATATAATAGAAAAAAAGTTAAACCGTAATCCGCATCTCTAAATCTGCCCACTGACACTATACTGCATTCTGCGTACAGTGGCGAGCTTCATATACGATCTCTTCACGTGCACTGTGCGCGCAGCCGATCAATTTGTAACGAGATTCCAATTTTATTAGCCAATTCACTCGATTCCGAGAAGAGAGTCTGTCGTGTACGTGCATATCGTCCATGTATAATAATTTATATAGCCAACGAAGGTCCCTCGTCACGCGATCATCGGCCTGCACCGCAGTGCACAACAACCGCTCAATTGTCCGCGTCTGTGTGTATGTTTTATTTATATATAGATAGATAGTATAACCGTCTGTATACCTCTGCGCTGCGCCGCGACAATTGGATGTGTGCGCGCATTGCTAAATGTCCGGTTCACGTGATAAATTCTATATAATATCGTATCGGTATTATATTATATACCATGTGCAACGGAGAAATGTGTCTCTTTATTTTTTTTCATTTTTATTTTTTGCAAAGGATATCGGTACGCGCGCTCGGTTGCGTAACCGATACTCGCGCGTACCATTTCTCTTTCTCTCTGCTCTCTCGGGATCATCAATCTCTTTTGCTGCCTGCTATCAGTACTAGTAAGCTTATATTTATGAAGTGGCTACTCGCGGGGGCAAAAAATCGCCAACTAGGAAGTTAACGTCGCGCCTCGTTCCGTTAAAACTCGGAGCGCCTGTATTTGTAACCGTGGCACGCGTACTCGCGAGCTTCGTATGCGCTTATATATGGCCGATTCTCTGTGAAATCGAATGGCCAAAAAAATTTTTTTTCTGCAAATATGAAAAACTTGCTGTTCCCGATGTCAGAAATGTCCCCAAATTTTATTAGAATTTTTGGGACCATCTATCACTCTTTTTCAGGGGCCCGAAGTTGGCCATTTTAGGGTTTTTTTGAAATTCATGAAAAATCACAAATATTCAAATAATTCCTGGATCAGGGTAGAATGATTCAAAAGTAAAAGTGCCCAGCAACTTTCTTGTTGGAAATTGTCCAAATTTTCAGAAAAAAAATATGCCAAAGTGATTGGAGCCACCTAAATATCTACTAGTGGGAAAACATAAAAAAAAAACACAAAACAAGAAATCTACTCGAGTTCGAACCGGACTTTCATTTCCTAAACTATGTAAAAAGCTTCCCAAAGATGTCAACTAATGCCTGATAAAGTTTTGTAATGGGTCTTAAAGTTTAACTCAATGTAGACAATAATGTATGGCGAAAAACGTGCAAAAAAGGACTGAAAATGGCTGTTTTTGGTGATTTTAGGCATTTTAGGCCCATTTTTGACCTTTTTTGCACGTTTTTCACCACACATTGTTGTCTACATTGAGTTAAACTTTAAGACCCATTACAAAACTTTATCAGGCAGTAGTTGACATCTTTGGGAAGCTTTTTACATAGTTTAGGAAATGAAAGTCCGGTTCGAACTCGAGTAGATTTCTTGTTTTATGTTTTTTTTGCAGTTTTTTTGCTTTACATTTACCTAGATTGTTCCAATCACTTTGGCATATTTTTTTTCTGAAAATTTGGACAATTTCCAACAAAAAAGTTGCTGGGCACTTTTACTTTTGAATCATTCTACTTTAATCCAGGAATTATTTTAATATTTGTGATTTTTCATGAATTTCAAAAAAACCCTAAAATGGCCAACTTCGGGCCCCTGAAAAAGAGTGATAGATGGTCCCAAAAATTCTAATAAAATTTGGGGACATTTCTGACATCGGGAACAGCAAGTTTTTCATATTTGCAGAAAAAAAATTTTTTTGGCCATTCGATTTCACAGAGAATCGGCCATATATTATGTATATGAAATATACATGAGCAAGAGACTACGACGACGACCACGAGTGACTTCGGACAAGTTTCCAAGCGCTCGAGGGAGATATCGCAGGTAGGTATAAAAAATCGCGCCCGAAGATCGATCGCTGCAGGTGTGCCCAATGCTGTATTATAGAAAGCTTAAAACGGGATATCGTGTATATGTAAGAAAAAAAGCTCGGCCGCAATTAAAGCTCTCTCTCCAACGATAATTCCTAATGGACCTTACATACATCGCGCGAATATTGCCACGAGGAAAGTTAATGCGCGACTTACACTGCACGTCAACGTTTTACCGTGCGCGGCTATTGAATATTCCTCGTGGCATTTGCTCTTTTTCTGTCTGTTCCTCTCTTGACACATGTACAGCATAAGTATGCCTTGTGCAATTTTTGCATTTTGTCCCCACGAGGCGCGCGTTAAGAAAGAATCGCAGCTCAGCACGTCGTGAATTTAAACATAGCGCGCGTGCATAAGAGCCAAAAGAGAGACGAACAAATAAAAACCGATGACCACTGTGTGTGCGTGTGCGTGTGTGGTGCGGATCCACTCGAACTTTACTCGGTGTACACATAAGCGTGCACAAAAAAAAAAAACAACTCATTGGCGACCAAGACTGCTTTCCTTTACCGCATGTATGCGATATTACACACGCAGCACGTCGCGAGCTAAAGAGACAGAGAAAAAATTAAGAGCGCGTCGAGCCAAGAGCTGCGAGCTGCACGATAAAGTCGCGCGCGCGCGAAGTTTATAATAATATATACACGAGGCTCGAAGCTCGACTGCGTGGCCGAGAGAGAGAGAGAGAGAGACTTAAAGGCAAACTTATTTATTTGCCTTTGTTTTATGGCCTTTTTTTGTCGCACGTGGTAGTGTCGCATGTGCGGTTTTCGAACCTCATACCATAAAATAACGCGTGCGACGACGACGACGACGACGACGACGTTTGTCCTCTGACAATATAATGTTAATATGCTGTCTCGTCGACTGGATGTCAGAGACCTTCCATTTTTCGACCGTATCGTCGCTCTCTGCTGGAGTGCCAAAGGTAAACGCTCGTGTGTGTACGTGAAAATTGTGCGAGTCGTGCGAATACAAACGTACGTGTAACGATATCGGGCCGATAATCTATAAATGCGCGCCGATAATTGCAGAGTGACGAGTGTACGCCAGCCAAGGGACAAAAACTCTTTATCGAGTGTCAACAGTGCTATCGAATTTTCCGATGTACACACTTTCAAAGTGTGCAAAATAAAAAAAAATCCATTGGCTAAGTGAAATATATCGTTTTTTTTTGTCTCGAGCAAATATATAGGACATTGCTCAAGAGCCAAGCGACTGACATCCTACTTGCTTTTTTATTTTATCTCTCGCGGCGTTAGAGTAGTTTATGTAATTTTCCTTAACTACTAACTGCTGCTTTTTTTTCTCTTTGAAAATTAGCATTTTAAAATATAGCCGCGCTGCTACGTGCCTATTTATATAAATCATAAATATAAATCGAGCCGAGCAATGAGAGTACTAATTTAATGAAAAATGTTTTTTCTTCTTTAATTCGAGCTGTGGAGAAAACGTTCAACGTTTGACAGATTAATGAATACAATTACAACTGCGCCTAGGCAATTCGCATTTCTGCTCGTGAGACAGAGAGAGAAAGGTGTATATAAGAAGAAATTATCGTTTTTCGTAATTCAGTGTTGTCAGCTGCTGCTGCTGCTGCTACTGCCGCTGCACACAATATCACAGCCATAATGTTGGTCAATTTATCCACTGACAAAACAATTTGCGATCGTATTATGCATGCGTATCATATATTTTCACCCATATCTAACGATTACGAGAAACAGGTTTTTAGAAGATCTCTCTCTCTGTACCCTCGCCCACGCGCGATTAATTTTACTTTTTTTTGTTCTCTCTCTCTCTCTCTCGTATCGTCAAGAAAAATTTTCAATTCTACCTATATATGCATATTGCGAGAAATTAAAATAATGTACGTCCGTGAAACAACAACAGCTATACCAATGGGCGATCGGTTAATGACGCCGAAGCAGAAACGATTTTAGCCTTTGAGGGCAGGTCATATCTCGATGCCTCGCGCTTGAACCACAAGTATACTACGATAAATATAAAAGGAATCGTCTCTCAGTGCACGTGCATGTGTACGTGTGTCCTCGGGCCTCAATTTGCTTTGCTTTCCGCCTTGTGCCGCTTACATACAGGGCTCTCGTCGATCACGGGGCGCGCTTACTTACACTCGCGACTTTCGCGCCGCGTGGGAATCGCTGTTTTTTGCCACACGCGTACATACAATATGTATAAATCGAGAGAAGTCTAAAAATGAAAGACGGATGCGATCCGTCAAATGCGCTGCGCGAAATAAAAGGGGGCATCATCCGCTCTCCCCGTAGACGTTTAATTGTATTTTTCGTGACGTACGTAATAATAGCAAAATCTTTTTTTCCTTTTTTTTTGACGTGGACGACGTAATTGCGAATATTTTACGATTATTGCATTGTCGCTCTTTTCCCTGGAACGATAAAACTCTGTCGTCAACGTCGCTCCGCGGCGATTTTTGGAAAAAATTAAGGACGAGATCGTGTAATCCCTATAACGCTATAGGGCACGAAGAGGCGACACAAAGACTTTTGTCGTCGTCTTCGTCGTAGTTGTCGTTCAGATCGCCAAGAAAAACATCTGCCGCGTACTTTTATTATATACAATCGCATGTTTCTAATACGCATCGTGGCAATTGAGGGCGTCGATTCAGCGTAATAACCTAGACACATGCCGCACACAGGGTACACGCATGTGTACGCAAGCGTTGACGCGTCGTTTCAAAAATTCAAACCTCCTCCGCGAAGAAACTAATCCTTCATCGCGCGTGTAAATACCGGTGTATTTTTCTTTTCTTTTTTAGTACGGAATCACTCGAGGCTCCTCTTTTTCTTTTACTTCGTAAAATTCACCTCTCGGTGCATTCCAGTAGCTGCGCATCGAGCTCGCAGGCGCGTGCGTGCGACCTTTTCCCCAGCAAGCTCCGACTGCAGCACATGTGTTGTGCCGCGTCAACGCACTTGCTGCTTCTCGATTACGTACGCGTATAAACAATGAAATCGTTAATTGCGCGGCATTTGGTACGAGTTAGCGAGGCTCGATTTAACGTTGCGTGTGTTTGAGAGTATGCGTGTGCATGTGTGGGTGAAGGCCCCCGATCTCGTTTTACGAGACGCACTGGACAGACACGTTGTACAGTATATACTGTGCGAATAATTGGCGTTAAGTAAGTGCGGACTATAGGAGATCAAAGCCACATGCTACGAGGCACGAGACTAAATCGTCGATTTTATAATATACCACTATCTGCAAATGTGGGACGAACGATCCTGACGTTCAATAAACACTACAAACAAGACGAATCGTCGCGTCTATTATTGGGGCATTGTCGAGCGCGACCCGATGATAAACGAAGTTTACATACGCGATGTTTAATTACGAGCTGTATAGCTGACACAAAAACCGACTTGCGGTCACGGTGCGGCGCTGCAGTAACTCAGTAATTCTTGTTAACCACGTGTGTGCCAAGGAAAAAGTTCCCAATCGCGTTTTCTCCGCGCTGACAGCTATATATATATTATGAGGCCTCGATTCGTAATGTCAACAACGTAAATATTGCGGCCGAAAACGACCGCCAGGTGGAACCTGCGCGAAACTCGCGAGTGAAGCGATTGGCCAAAAAGCTTATATATACACATCAACGATGTATTCAAACAATGATAAATGTTCACGGTAGACAATAGTCTCGCAATGAGTATTCGATCGAAACAAAAAAATTCGTAAGAATCATAACGCTTACTTTTCCGGGCTGCGGCCTTGACGCTGCTCCTGCTGCTGCTGTTGACTCCTGATCTGGCCGTTGTGATAATTGTGCCTGATTCCGCTCGACGTGCTCGGCAGCGGCTGCTGCTGCTGCTGCTGCTGCTGCTGTTCGCTCCGATAGACGTCCGCCCGGGTCGTCACCAACGTCGAATTGTTGCCGCCGTTATCGGTTTTATTATTATCAACTACCGAGCGCATGTCGACGATCGTGACCCTCGGCTCCTCCTCCGCCACCGCAGCCGCATCGTCGGCAGTAGCTTCGTTCGTCCTGGCTGCTGCTGTCGCTGTTGGTGTTGCGGCATTTTTCGATGACGACACCGATGATTTGTGATTATCGAAGCGCAACACGAACGAAGCTGCCCCCGACGCCGACTTCCTCTTGCTCGCCTCGTCTCGCATTATTATACTTTGGAGGCTCGCATCAATGAGTTACACAAAACACAGGCACGATCTTATGCAAATAATTGCACATTGGCGATAGAAAAAAAATGCATAAAACCGATTAGAACGTCATCGCGTTTCCCGCGGCTTTGATCTTAAATTATGACTTCTTTTTTTTCGCTGTTTTCTTACTGACACTCGAACGCAACACTTTACTACCGATGCACATATAAATACACGATCGAGCTACATCGAAAACATATACGACAACAATAATCGCGCGTTCATACACCAGAAACAAAGATCGAGACAAAAGTCGTCGAGAAGCGTCGCGCGATGTATAACACACGATGCGCGTCAGTCGCTCGGGAAAGTCAACGCTCAACTCGTAGTGCAGCGCGACTGTGCGCCGGAGAGCCGCTGCCTGCGAGCCGCCGCCGCCGCCGCCGCGTGCCTCATTCGATACTCTGCTCTCGTGCGGCCGCAGAACGGAGCACACCGACAGAGCGCAGTTATTGCGCTATATCTGTATGGACGCACATGTAGGAGACTTTTCAGCGCGTGGTGGTCTTTTGCGACGGGGACTGTATATATACGTGCCGGCGAGCATGTACGGTTTATGTTGTATTATACACGCACACCTACGTGTTGCTCGGCTCCTCGTCTTCGCGTATACTTATGTATAGGGTACTTATACCATTGATTGACCGCTTTCGACCAGTAAATAACCACTTTTGGATGTGCAATAATTATCGTTTTTCCTTATTAAATTATAATCAAACATAGAAAACAAGATGCATCGTTCACTGAAGAATTGAATTACAACCATACAAATATATTTTTAATTGTTTCTCTTTTGATATTTTCCAAAATGGTCATTCACTGGTACCCGGTCATTGATTAGTCTGACTACCCTATACACCGACCGAGTTTTGTAGTATTGTATATGATAATAAACACAACGATCCTCGCGCACACGCTCGCTTCTTTGGACACATGCAACAGCTGCAGTGGTATATAAGACGATCGCGAGTAAAGCGGCAACACGATTGTTGAATGTTTGTCCGTGCACTGACTTTTACATTTATATTGATGCACGAAGCGCCTCGAAGATGTGTGTTGACACGATTGGTCTCGTGTCGCGAGTGTGGATGTGCAAGAGTGTGTTTATGACTGCACGCGATTGATTTGAATGCAATTATTATAGATATATATATTTTGTATGTAGTTTATCTACTTCGTTCGGGAAAAATTATCGGGAGCTTTTGATTGATTGGCTATAAAGTGAAATGTAACTTAAAACAATTACATTTGAATACTTGGCTATTTTATTCGGAAGTAATACTTTGTTGTTGTGAAGAACCTTTGTTATTTCGAATGTTACTTTTAATTCATGAAATGAAATAATTTCCGGCATTCACCTATCTTCAACAACAAATTCAACTCCCTAACAGATATTTACAAGATATACTCGTAAGTACATCGTGTTGACGTTGAGCAGGCGCTTAGCCCACGAAGTCCGAGCTTGCGATCAAAACCAGGGTCTGGAGCCAGTAATATTTAAATACGAGTGCACCTGCAGGTGCCTTGATTAAAACAATAAAAAAAACTGCTAAACACTTGATAATTTATTTTCCCAAGAACAAAATAAAATGTATAATAGACAAAGGTTGTATGGCGTAAGTTATACTTTTGTGTACTCTCTTTGAACATTGTAATGAATGTAATTGTTATGAATTTTTGTTCATTTTGAAGTGAAACTTTTGCAGGCACCTTATATAAATTGATGTTGTACATATTCCTTTCCTTTGTTTAAGATTATTCGATTATCTTTATCCTACATTATAGCATTGATATCAATTGTTGTATGTAATCGTTATGTAAGAAGGCCAAAAACAAGTCCGTTTGTTCATACCAGGCGCGTTTTTTTGTACATGTTTGCGATCGATAATCGAGTCACAGTATAGAGTATTAAAATGCACGAGTGTACTCATTTGTGCGTGTGAACAATAGACCTTTCCAAACAATATACCTATATTAACTAAACTTCAAGCTACTGTAAAGATACATTTAAAATATTTGCTATAGTTGATGAATATTGACAGCTTTTAATTCGCTAAAACGCATTATCTAGTGGAGCCTCACTTTTAAAGGAAAATTTTCTAGTCATAATGTATACTCGAGTAAACTTGGAATCATCCCATAGTATAAAAATGACATCGAAACGTTTGACGGATGGTATAAACAGTAAAATAGATGATACAGTCCCGGATAATTTACCATGTATTGATGAGCAAGATATCGAAAGGTTAGCTGTGAAATTGTATCACCCAGTAGTTATTTTTATGAAAGCATCACTTCTATGGCCCTACTTATCTAGTGCGATAAAGTACAGAATGGGATTTTTTCTAATTTGTATGGACACTGTGTTATTTACATCCACGGTACTTCTTGTTTTTCAAATATTTTACAAGTATATAAATAAAATATGGAATTTACAGGTAATTTATACAATTGAAAAAAAAAATAAAAATGAATTAGATCATGTTACGGCGATGGAATTATGTATTCAGTTTGGTATAATTATTTTGCGTGCATACACCACATATTTCACGATTTTCAATACACTAGGCTCTTTGATGGTAAAGCTAAAAAACCAAAAAATTTTTTGTTTAAATTAAAATAAAAGAAAGTAACAATAAAAATAGTTTATTGAAAGAATCTCAAATTCGAACCCTTTTTGTTTCAAAGGTAAAAGAAATTATAGAATCTATGATGAGAAATTGGAGTAAAAGTAATACTGATGAATCAAAATTTATTAAAAAGTACATCGATTTATCTTTGTTTATTTGTCACACTGCAGGAGGTATACTCTATCGAAGTTCACCGCAAAGAGTAACACGCTTTTGTGATAATTTAAATGGAAACGTGTTACTTTTCGTGTCGAGCGTCGATACATTTTTTAATGGGTAAACATAAAAAAATAATGTCATCTATTTTACAGTCCTTATGGGTATATCTTACATTTCGTACATTGCGGTACCAGGGTTATGGCCGCTCTTTGGAAATGCTATTATACCGGGAAATCACGCATATGAAAAAAAATTATCTTTACACCTTGAATTATTCATTGATGAAGATCGTTACTTTTACTTCTATTTCATAATATCGCTTCTCACATGTTTTTCATATCTCATATCCATGACAGCAATGGGAGGTTATTATATAACCGCCAGTTTCTATGCAATTGGAAGATTCAAATACATTAGGTATTCTTAATATACCTTACACATATCAAACATTGCGGCTATGAGTTGATTGGAGTGTATTATAACGTTTTATGTTTTTAAATAGTATCAAGCTCCAGAAAATATCAGAATTTTCAAAAAGAAAGATTAAATTGAATACAAAAGATCACGTTTCAATGCACAATTATATTCGTCAACTAGTTCAACATCATCAACATTGTATTGAGTACGTTATAGTTTTCTACATATTTCAAATTTCATAACCGGCAATTTTTTTTAATTTTTAGTCTCGTTGACATAATTAATTATATGAGCAGTGACATATTTTTAGCTGCTTTATTTTGTGGAATATTTGCTGGCACCGTCGCTGGTACTTTGGTACGATAACTTAATTTTTATTTCAATTGGAAAATAGAAAATTTTATAAAAACCTATTTTTCCTCTTGTAGATAGTAATTGAATATAAAAAGCATCCAAAAGTCGCAATAGTAGCGGCCTGTGCTTATCTCATATTTATAGAATTTTTACTTGTGATCAGTTGCATTTCTCAAATAGTTTACGATGCAAGTGGTGAAATATATGATGAATGGTAAGAAACATATTATTTATTCGTAAAAATTCTTCTAATTACAATGTTTATTTTTCACCAATATAGTTACTTTACTGAATGGTACAAATTTTCACCAAAAAACAGAAGAATGTTACAAATTATAATGATTAGAGCCAGTCGCCCTTCTTGCATGACGATTGGGCCCAACCATGTTTTCCATTTGGAGACGAGTGGAGATGTAACTATGAAAATTTTATAACAAGTATCAAAAAAAATCTTACAAATTTCTTTCCTTCTTTAAAGATTATTCGTTTATCTTTATCCTACGTTACGGCACTGATGTCTATTGTACAGTTAGAATCGTGAACCAAAACAATGCGATAGCTTATGAACTCACCAGCAAAATAAATTAATCTGTGGGTCTACCAATTGAAAATTTCACAGTGGGTTCTATAATAATGAACAATATATAATTACAAATGTTTATGTTTATTTACTTATTTTTTTGTATCTTCATTTGAAAGTCATTCCATGCTTTCAATCGATAAACAAACTACACTCGGAAACAAAATTATCGCAACGAAAAAATTCATCGAAATTTTGTCGATTTTCAAATGCTTCTATCTTGGGCTAGATTTATCGTATCGACACGCTTTTTTTTAATTTCTTGGAAATTTTGTCCTCTTTAAATCTATATAAATTAAGATAAGATTTGATTTAATGTTGAGTTACCAGTAGTATTTGAGCGTGACCCTAAAAATTACTGAAAAAAAAAATGACTGTTTGAACGTGTACCAGTACCACTGTGTTTTTTTTATCAAAATCTCACATACACCATCGCAAAGTGCTCTTTTCAACGAGTAATTTTAAAAAAAAGACCTCTCTACGATTTTTTTAACGCCCTGTAGATCGATTTGAAGGTACGGTTTATGTACGCAAAATGCCCAGAAAATCGTCTTGATTTCAGCTATAAACGGGGGATTTTACGTACTTTTAATGGTATTTTCAAAACGACCTACAGAACGTTAAAAAAATCGTAGAGAGGTCTTTTTTTTTTAAATTACTCGTTAAAAAGAGCACTTTGCGATGGTGTATGTGAGATTTCGATAAAAAAATCACTGTGGTGCTGGTACACGTTCAAACAGTTATTTTTTTCAGTAATTTTTAGGGTCACGCTCAAAAACTACTGGTAACTCAACATTAACTCAAATCTTATCTTAATTTATATGGATTTAAAGAGGAAAAAATTTCCAAGAAATTAAAAAAAAAAGCGTGTCGATACGATAAATCTAGCCCAAGATAGAAACATTTGAAAATCGACAAAATTTCGATGAATTTTTTTGTTGCGATAATTTTGTTGCCGAGTGTATNAGAAGGTCTAAAATTCTAAAAAAATGTATACGTACTCTCTGATTAATTCATAGATTTTTTGTTCATTTTGAAGTGAAACTTTTGCAGGCACCTTATATAAATTGATGTTGTACATATTCCTTTCCTTTGTTTAAGATTATTCGATTATCTTTATCCTACATTATAGCATTGATATCAATTGTTGTATGTAATCGTTATGTAAGAAG